ATCATAGAGTTGTAATCATAAAAACATGTTTCATTTTGCAGTATGTAAATCTTGTTCACTCGCTTGCTCTGAATGCCCAATTTGCCGCACAAAGATCTCTGATCGGCTCTTTGCATTTCCCTCTTGACCAATCAAATTCAAAGGTACCTTTCTTGCAAGTGAATGCAAAATGTTATTTGTGTAACATTCCATTTTGGGTTCTTTTTCGGTTTAGAAAATGACCAACTTGAAACTTAAAAATCTAATCGGATGAATTTGGTTAAGTTTTGGTTTTCCGATCACAATTGTACATCAGAGTTTTTCGGTTTGGTTTCTAACCGATTTAAGCTTTTAGGTTTAGTGTTGATCAAAGTTTCATGATTTTGCAGGTGTTAAACATTGTGGGTGAAGCCTGTTGTTATAAATTTTAAGGAAAGAACAGGTTGGGATTTATTTTTTTATACATTAGTTTTGGGCTCTTTTGTATGTAATATGTCTAATGCTAATATTTATACTTATCATTAAAAATGGGGAAAGAAGGAAAAAAAAATATATACGTGTGGACATGTCTTCACTTCTCTTTTGGCTTCTTTGATATTATTCAAAGACTTAAGTTAAACAAACGAATGAGTAGGAGTTAAGTTGACAATTTTCAAAAAATTTCTCCTAGCTAAGTAATAACAGTTTTCACAACCTATCATTATCATGAATTACATTAGACTGTTTTTTTTCTTTTTCTTTAAAACCTCTTAGCATACTAACAGAAAAAAAATACAAAATTACGCTTTTTCAGCCAAGCCAAAATTATTACTTAGTCACGGTTACATGTAAAGAAAAAAGATTTCGAGTTGGGTACAAACAAGATTTATAAATTATATTTACACAAATAGAGTCGTGGACCATAACTCGTTGAGCAAAAAAAAAACCAAAACTCATTTGGTGTGTAGTTGGTTTGATTGACCATATCCTTGAAAATTGTATCTTTTGGTTGTTCCACAAAACCAAATACTTGTGTTATATTATTGACCATCCAATAGAGTTGGACCCTTAGTCAAAATTGTCGATCCAAATCCGAATCTTAGTTGACAAAGACAAACGAATTCTTATTAAAAAAAAAAATTTGAAAAAATGAGAGAAAAACGGAAACAACAAGTTGGTTTTTGGATTCGTGATTTCAAACCCCAACACCCAAAGAAAAAGACTAAATTCCAACAACAAAAAAAGGTTCATGAAAAAGGTTTTTGTTCCCAAAACCCTTGATGATGGTATTGTGAAGAACCATCATAAACCCTATAAGACTCATTGTTGTTGTTATTAGTACTAATAATGTTATCCTCATAGGAAACACAAGAAGGATGTTCAAGCAAATCCTCCACTCTCCAACCCGGTAATGTCTCCATCAAATACTCTGATATACTTCCCGTACCCGTACAACCCGATCCAGAACCCGAATCGCTCACTTGGTGATAGTTTTCCTCTAGCCCGTAATAGTAATTGCTCGTAGTCGTCGAGGGAGAACTCGTAAAGACCTCATTAGAGGCCAAACTCGGGACCTCCCCCGATACTGATTTGGGTCGGGTTTTGGCCCGACCCGATGCAACAGCGGAGTTGGAATTGGAAGCTCTCGGGTAGGTGGACGGAGAGGCGGAAATCTTGACCCCGGTGAGGAGGAATCTATTGTGTTTCTTAGTGTGTTCATTAGCTTGATGTATTGGAACGTCACATTCTCTGCATAGTATCGCTCTATCTTCTTGGCAAAATAATAATGCACGTCTCTCCTGTCATATGTAGAAAGATTTGATACCATTTAGTAATTGAAAATCATAGAAGACTCTTGTCACGTATTTTATCTTCTTTAATATTTTATTTATTTGCTAGATTTGACCTTTTTTTAATTTCTGACGATCTTTTCAAAAAGGATATTGCTCTTTTTTATAAAAGTAAGGCAAAAAAAAGTACTTCTTTAAAATATATTTTTCTTCACGGCTTCACCTTCCCAAAGAAGAAAGTATTTTAATATTGTAATATAAATAACTCGATTCAGTTGGTTAATTACTTAACTTAAGACTAGTAACAAAATAATTTATCAAGATTTGGTAAATCTTAATCTTTGTTCTGTTTCTCAGAAATCTTGTGAAACTTCAAATTTTCAGCAAAACTTGGAACAGTTTCCGTGAAAGAAATTGAAAATCAATCATTTTTCTCACCAACCTAACAAAACAAATCTCAGAACAAGAAAAAGTGACCCCAAATCACCTAAATCATCAATACTAACATATCTAAAAACTAAGAAAAACATTATTTCCAATAAAAAGTTTCAAAATTCTGTCGAGAAAAGTGGCATGAG